CCCAGGTCGAGCCGACCCATTCGTGTTACAACTATACCAGAAATATAGCTTCAGCATGGCTCTACCACGTATGAAAGTTGCTTTGCAACTCACAAATACTTTTTAATATTTTAACAACCAGAGGAGATGATGTATACTTCGCTCCCCATGTCATTAAATTTGTTAGAAATACATTTGGTGATAAAAGGAGGATGATAGGTATTCACGGTAGAAATATTGATTGGCATTATGTAGAATTTCTTAACGAAATTCAATACATTTAGAGAATATACTGGATACAAAATCCCAATAATCTCCGAAGAGATGAGTCTACCGAATAAACTTAAACAATTTTTCTCAAGAATCAAATCGGAAAGTTGTATTTTCGAGCTATGACCTTTAGAAAAATATATTTAGTGCCATGGACAGTTTCCCTGAAATTTCGTTTTTAACATAATGTTAATCAAATATAAATAGGTAGATATTTAATAAAGTAAATACCTATTTATATTTTGTATATTTCATAAAATGTTATTCTGGTAAAATGAAAAACTAGTACTCCGGGGACACGGAGTACATAATGCTTGCTTCATTTTTCTTATTTTATAAGTATTACTTTTAATAATTAATTATTAAATACATTATAGAAGTTTATTTTAAAATTTGACTTAAATATGAATATAAACTTAATAATCTTTAGTAAGAAAATTTCAGTTAAAAATCAATTAAATAAAATTGCTCTGTTTAAAGACCAATATGTTTATGAGGCTACTCTATCTCTTTTTATTTTATACACACCTAAAGAAAACCTGCAAATTGTTGAGTTCTTCTTCGGATTTCAATACACCCGCCCAATTGACCTTAAACATTTTTTTTCTAATTATAGAAGCCGGAGGGAATTTTAACAAACAGCAAAATAAAATATATTTTTTTATAACGCAAACCGAGCATTTATTTTCAATCCTCTTCTTGTTGTGCGGGCGAGTCTATCGATTCATTATAAACATTCAAGATAAATATCGACTTTAATTTTGATATAGTTGAGTCAAGCCCTAGCGTGCATGTAAAATATTTTGCTTAAAAATGTATTTACCAAAATCATGAAAATTATCAACAACGTGACTTTTTTCTTTGCAAAATATCAAAATAACTATATAATGAAAATAACATAAATTTTAACCGAAAATATACGCGTCATACCAAGAGATTTAAATATATAGGTATACTATAGAGCCGACATTGGGAACATTTATATACAAAAACTTTGAGCTAGTGCGCGTGTGGCACCCTCTACCTAAAAATAGCAAAACAACGCTAAGCATTTATTAAGAAGACATTTTAGCTATTCCCCAGTAGGTGACGCTAATAAATATAACCTCGTTTTAGGAATGTTACCGTTTCTATATCAAAGTATCGATAATGTTGTTGAAGATTACTAAGTTTGAAATGCTTTTCAATATAATAATAGGGAATATAGATAATTGTTTTATTGTATAAATCTATTTATCATGACTTCCATCACACGAAAAACATCATATTACCTTTTTCGCCCCTTTAGTGTCATGAAATAAAATATTTAATTTCCAATAACTAAGAATCAATTCAAACAGCAGTCACTTTGGTTACCACCTTGGTGGCATGACGTCACTTGGTCCATTAGCTGTTATAATAATAGCATATGATGGATCGGTCGGCGTTAAAGACACATCGAGAAACGCCAAATCCAATAAGAGAGCGCCTGTATGTTTTTAAATACGTTTCTATTACAAAAATACGTTTCAAATCTAAAATATTTTTGGAAAACACTGAACTTAAAAGCCGTTTCACGATTTTTCTCGTTTCGTCAGCTACAGTACTTAAAGACACTACCCACATCAATAAAAATTGTTATTTTAAGTTTTTACCTTATTTTCTAACTCAGCCTTAACCTACAACTTCTTGCATCTAATATCTTTAACAGTACAAATTGTTTTTAATGTAAGAAATATATTGCCCTCTCCTATCAGTGTAAGCGAGGATCTATAATGTCTTTGTCCTTGAAATCACCAGACAATGAAGTCCGGTGTAAAACCACCAGACAATGAAGCCTGGTATGTAAAAGAGAAGACTTGCTGTATTGCTAAACATCAACACAGCAAGTATCCTCAGCATGCTCATAAGCAACACAAAAAGAAAAATCTCATCAGCATGCCTAAAAATTTCCCATCCTTGCTCCACATAAAGTAGGGTACTTAGCATAGTTGGTATATCATTTTCTTTGGTATGGGTACAGTATCGTTGACTGTTTTGCCTCCTTAAATATTGTAAAGGATTATATCGGCATCCTGTATATTTTTATATCGATAATCCCAATCGATAAACGTCGTCAATCACTAACTTTAAAATTGGTAAATAAATAGTGACGTTTACTGGATAACAGAGGGCGCTTATTACAATAAAAATAAATGTTCTAGAACAATCTACTAGAAATAATAAAATATAAAGATTATTCGGTAAATATATGTTATATTTACGATAATAAACCGAAATCACGTTCATTTTTTGCTCCATATCGTGACTTACAATATCTTAATACACAACCGGGCATATTTTCTATAAAAATATTTTTTAAATATATGAAACGAATGCGTTTTGACTTTTTGACGATGTCACTAAGACTAAATGACAAAAATCGGAGATATATCCTATAGGACATACTCGTAAGTTACAGACGACAATTTTGCTACTGATGTCCGGTCTATTACTACTACTACTTAAATGTCTTTGGCGTCATAACATTGACAACGTCTTGAGAATTTACCTGTGAAATGTTAAATTAACAGGGTTATTTCTATTATAGACACCACAGTCACTCACAGAAAAACTAGCCTCTTTGTAAAACAATTAGTTACTAAAAATAACCACTATTATGCTCTAAAAATTACAAAACATCTAGGAGCTTATTTCTTGCACGCCGACCTGTCATTCAAAATCGGTTATAGGGTCATGAGATTGTCTATCCTTTTTTATTTTACTATATTGCCATAAGGAATTTTCTTCTCCCTTGCACACTATGACCGTCTGCCTATTACTATCCTAAGTCTAGAATCTACTAGTTAGTCTGTGGTCTATGTTACTCCGGAATTTGAACTGAGTGGGCGCGATTTTTTTCAAATTCAAACTGTTTTGCTAAAATCTATTTAAATCTCATTTTTCTTGGTTTAAATCTTGTCAATACAGTATAATTAGTAGTTTTATAAATAATTACTTACCATGTTAAATATTCCCTCAGGGAAACGTGTTAGAAGAACGGACTCCCAGGATGCAAACGATGTAAACAGCGGCGGGAGTGAGGACTTTTTACCTTTTTTGAAACCAAATTATGAAAGAATATATCCTGAAAACTCTACTAACAGTGGATTCAAATTATTTGTTGAAAGCGCCAATAACGAAAGGCTGGGCAAAAAGAGTCCAATATATCTGAACCATATTTTTACAACAGACATAAAAGGAGTGGTGGCCATTCATAAAGTGAATGCCAAAAAAATAAAGCTAATATTTTTTTAACAAACGCGGTTTTCCTGGAGAAGTACAAACTGAAGGCGTATATATGCCAGCGGAACAAATTGAGAAAACGGGAATTATTCGATTTGTGCCAACCAATATCTCAAATAAAGAATTGTATTAACTTTCCTCAATATATGAAATATTTGCTGTGCGCAGGTTTCTGAAGAAAGTTGGTCAGGAAAGGGTGCCACTACGTACTGTCAGAATTACCTTTCTTGCCAATACTGTTCACCTCAGACCACTCGAAAAGCTGACCCGAACTAACCCGTTCGCAAAAACGACTACTGGAATAATTTAAGTCGGCATATACATATCTCTCACCTAGTGAGCCAGATCCAGATATTTTGTTTCCTTATTTGTTTCGGCTAGTGGTAGGTATATCCGTTGCTATTTGTTTATAATATCTAATTTTAATTTTTATTATTATCAAATGTTTTGTTTAAATATTAATGCGTTGTTGAGACATCCTTTTAAGTAAATATATACCTGCTCCAGGATGCCTCGCTAAACCGTAGAAAATTTCTTTAAAAAATTTTAATTTAATATAGTCTTATAATAACAAAACTTACATTTAAATAATAACAAAAATAGTTCGTGCGTGTGTGTACGTGTTTTGAAGTGAATTTTAGGTTATTTCATGGAATAAGTGCAAATATAGTCAACCTTGTACAGTACTTTCTACGTGGTAGAGCCAAACTGCAGCTATATTATGGTTGTAGCACGAATGGGTCGACTCGACCGGGGAAGGACCACGCTCTCACAGAAAACCAGCGTAAAATAGCAGCTTAACGCTGCTGTGTTTCGTATGGTGAGTGTAGAGAACCGGAGACCCTTTTTACTGGCAAAGAGGCATTCCATCTTGGTCCTCACGGGTGACAACGCATCTACATCTTGAGTCTTTATTGACGTTAGATGTAGATGTCTATGGGTCACAGTAACCATTTACCATCAGGTGGACGGTGTGCTCGTTTGTCACCCTATCCTATAAAAAAAAAGTTTGAGGCACCACTTTAGCTATGTTTGAAGCAATGAGTCAAATGCCTTTCTGTAGTCTATCCAGGCGGCAAAGAAATTATGACCATTGCGTTTAACTTCTAACACCTTTCTAATGACCGTGTCAATGAGGAGTAGTTCCTTAGTTCCACTACCGCTGGCCCAACATCCATTATTCTTATAATTAAAATTGTTTATCTCAACCATATGGGAATATATGGAGATACTCCAAAAATATATGTACAAAATGATTTTTAAGAAAACTTTAATTCATATTTTATATTAAATGAATGTACATACTTTATTTGATGTGGTAATTTGAAAAAAGGCAATTACATGAAAGATTCATAAATTAATGTTATATTTCTGGAGATGGAAATACCAAATGTCTGAATTATATTACGTGTGACTTCATTTTGCATTAGTATATTTTATTTTAATTATATATCATATTTAGGTAGTTTGTCGATGCGCAAAGAATTTTAATTTGTGTCACCTAAACCAATACCTAGAAGAGTTTGTTTAGCAAGGTCTAGTTTTAGTATGTTGTCGGGATCATTCAGGTTAAGTAAGTCCAAGTCAATGAGTCCTTCATTTTTATTTTTGTTGCCACTGCTACCTTTACCGTCCTTTCCGCTTTTATAATTATTTTTACCATCCCCTAAACCAATACCTAGAAGAGTTTGATTAGCAAGGTCTAGTTTTAGTATGTTGTCGGGATCATTCAGGTTAAGTAAGTCCAAGTCAATGAGTCCTTCATTTTTATTTTTGTTGCCGCTGCTACCTTTACCACCCTTTCCGCTTTTATCATTATTTTTACTATCCCCTAAACCAATACCTAGAAGAGTTTTATTTGCAAGGTCTAGTTTTAGTATGTTGTTTGGATCATTCTGGTCAAGTAAGTCCAAGTCAATGAGCCCTTCATTTTTATTGTTGTTGCTGCTGCTACCTTTACCGCCCTTTCCATATTTTTTACCACCACCTCCGTTGTAAGCACTGCTAACTGTAGTGTATACTAGAGCATTGATTAATTTCATAATTATTTCTTCAACATCTACGCCATTTTTGCATACTGATTTCGAATTTTCGTTTTCTTCAAGAGCACGTGCTAACGTTAGTAGAACGTTTAATTCGTCGTAGTTGCATGATGTCAATGGTCTACGGGGTAGACATTGCGCCTCAGGCATCTGTAAATTTATACAAAGTTTTAAAAAAATACATAAATATGATCAGTGGCGGTACCTTCATACAAGTCAAAAAGCATAACCTATTTAACAGAGGCGTAGCGTGGACTAATATAGACGTGAGCAAAGTCGCATTAGCGAGGTCTATTTACTTTCGTTCTCAAGATCTACCCAATAGATCGATCCTACCAAATATGCTTTAACACGACATACTTACTCATAGCTATTAATACCTCACAAGTCTCGTATTCATTCAATCTAACGATAGCGGTCTTGGCAGGTTTTCTTTGCACACGCTTTTAAAGGAGTCTATCGTTTTTGGGCCCAATAGAAATTTTCGAGACCCTCAATGGTATTATATAAAAAAAAAAGATACCAATTTACTATTGTAAATATCATAAAGATTTTGTGACGTTCTTTTTCCAACGTAAAAGTCAAAATCAAATCAAAATCAAAATCAAAAAATGTTTATTCTGTAACAATAAATTTACACCATTAGCAGTACACAGAGTTCTCCTTTTATTAAGTATTTTTCAATACTTGTGGCAGGAAAACTCGCTCTTCCTTAATTAACATACAGTACTTGTAGTTACAAGAATAATATAACATTCCTTTTGATAAATTAATTATTTCATTTATATTTTATATTAATTAATTCAATAAGAAGTTTCGTACATTCTTTATTAGTTTTGAATAAATATTCAATTCTTTGTTTAAGTAATTATTGTACAAATAAGAGGACTTTTTTGCCTGTTGCCGTCTAGCTACTGCTGTTTTAACCGGAGCACTTGGAACTATGTTAACGAACTGTAAGAAGATCACACAGGGCGTATAAATCTTGTGTTGGGAATTTGTAAGGCTTAAAATTCATAAGTTTCAGTAATGATATTTGAGCTCTCTCTAAATCCAAAAACTTTGTTTTCGTAGCACCTCCCATATACTAATACACAGTATACCAGAACTGACTGAACTAAAGAAACATACACTTGTTTTAATATCTGTGTTGTTGTGAGATGTCTTAAAATTTTGGAAAACCAAAAGTGGTCAAACTAATTAGTCATCTGTGGTAAAGTCTGGGTGCATCGCGCTTAAAGGGGCCCCTTTAAGTGCGAGGTCGTAGGCGAGGGCCCACTTCGCCCGCGCCTAGTTACGTTACTGCTATTTAATTCACAACACCAAACGTAAACTGATTACAAGATAATATTAAAAACGTAAAGTTTTATACTTCGAGTATATATAACTATATATTAAGAAAAAAAGGGTTGGATCTAGAATCGTTTGGCAGGTATTTGGAGGAGCAAGGTAACAAACCTCCATCAAATACGACGGTAGATGTTTGTTCCTCGATTATAATAATACCATTCCTTAGGTAATGCACTATTTTCGAGAAAATAAAAACTATTATACCTAACCTAAAAATGAGTAAAATTGGAAAAACGAATACAAAATTACTGTAAAGCGTGAATGCTATCCAATACATAATTTTGTGTAAGTGCGACAAGGACGTAAGACTATGTCAAAGACTAGTGTCACATATTGTACTATGGTATTTTTATTCTTGGGTGGTCTATGCTCTCATAATAAATTATGTTTACAAACAACAAGAAATGATTATCACATATTTTACACCCAGAAAACCTTCGAGTTGAGTTAGGTTAGAAGGCTGTTCTCGAGATCTGGGAGCTGCGCTTCACTTCACCCCCGCCACATACATGCGAACCCAGAAATCCTCTCAGTTGAGTTAGGTTAGAAGGCTGTTGCGGGGGCGAAGTACTTAATTTAACTTAATTTAAGTAGTAAATTTTTTACCGTTTAGAAATACATGAGTACTCAGAAATCCTTACAGTAGAAATAGGCTACGCCTCCTGCCGGAGAGATAAATGTTGCCATTTTGAGGTTAGGTCTATGGAATTCTATTTAAAAATTTTCTCAAAAACCGTGTATATACCTATTCATGGGAGTGATGTCGGGGTGTAGGGGACACTCCCCTCTCCCCTCTCACCCACTCCCCTTCCCCACTCCAGCCAAACGATTCTAAATTTTTACCGAAAAAATTGCTAACAAGTTTTGGCTATAATTAGGAACACTTAGAAAAATTAATTTAAAAAACTAACTATACTACACAATATTTAAATGTCAACTGTCAAAATGGCATCGATGAAGCAAAAAAGCCCAGAGTTTTACATTACATGAGGCAACCCCCTTTTGACTCTTTATTATTTAACTGCGATCTGCCCCGGCTTCGCTCGGGTGATTTCTAGATCTCGACAACTGAGCCACCTACCGGATTCCAATTGTGAATCGTTTAGATCATCCAGGGACCCACTCAAACACACACAAAAAATTTCATTAAAATCGATTCCGCCATTTTAGAGTTTTAGCGAGACTAAAGGAGCTATGGATTAAAATTTTAATTTATTTATTTTTAACTCCCCCCCACTTAATGGGTGAAATTTCATAAAATCCGTTCTTGGTAATTTTTTACCATGCCAAAAAATATTCTGGCCAAGTTTTATACCTATAAGAGCTATAGTTTTAAAATATGATTTTTTAAATTAACGCCCCGCAAACCCCTTGCGGGTAGAATTTTGTGTATTAATCGCTAATCATTTCGTATAATAATTCGTTATCTATTATCTTTATATGCATTGCTATCGTATCACAGAGCTGACTATGCAAAATAAGGCGGTAGTTTTTGAGTTATAAAAAAGTGACCATATTAACGGGATGACCATATTACCCTCACGTACTATATTATAAGCGTATCACTAATAAAAGCCGTTTAAATATTAAAATTAAAGTCTTAGCAAAGAATAATAAAGTGAAACATAAAAAATTAAATGAAAAACTCACCTCACACAGAGACGCTACCAGCATAAAAGAAAGTAAATATAGCAAAGCCATTTTTACTTTGAAACTGATGCTGCTTGTCTGTGAAACTTCCTTTTTATACATGTTTCATTAGGTTACGAAACAAAGGGTATTATTTAAATGTAATTGTTGTTTGGTTTACTCATAAAATTTTTTGTAGCATATAATGTGTAAAGGGTTCTGTATATGTATATTCATTAGATATAATCAATTTAAACGACGTTTTGTAAATTAAATTTATTCTTAAAGAAAGAAAAATTAAAGTTGCAGACTATACACGCCCCACTGCTGTGTCCGGGTCTCCTCCCGTTTCTAAGGGGTTACGGAGCAATTAGTTCGCCGCGCTTCTCCATTGCTTTTGGCGGACACTGTTTCCACTTCACATGTCTACGAAATATCTTTTTAAATTCTTCAGACATGCAGACTTTGCCTCGATGTTTTCCTCCACCGCCATCCTTGTGGTAAATCAGCACTTTAAATTGCAATCAATAATTTCATTGGTGTCGGCGGGAATTGAATCCGGATGGCACGCAAACTGTGTTACGGCGAACGCTTAGACTCTGAGGTAATTGTAGAATTGATAAGAAATAGTCACGTACTTATTTCTTCATTGAAACATATACTTACACAATATTTTCTGTAAGGTGCGCGCTTTAAACATAGTGCGTTAGTAATCCGCAAAAAAAAAAAACAAAAGAGCATTCTTAGCATGCACCCTGCATGCTAAGAATTTAAAAATATTTCGAGGACATGATATAGTCAGGCAACACTATCAGGGCCTAGCAGACATACGTAGATTATTTATTTATTTAATCTTTTTTAAATCTACCTTATAATAAGGGATATAAAGGGCGGACTTAATGCCTTATGGCATTAGGTCAACCCTGAATGATTTGAGAATATATGGCATATATGGCAGGTGGCAGGTGTAAAAACAAAATGCAAAAATAAAATATATTTAAAAATATACAAACTTAATATCTACTTTAAAATAAAGAAAGGTAAGATTAATAGTAGATATATAAACGGGTAAATATTTATATAAAATCTTTAAAAATGTATAAAATAACATAATCTATACATAATAATCAATCTGTAGAAAAGTCGTGTCTGTAATTCTAAGATACTTTTTTTTTAGGATAGGGTGACAACCGAACACACAGTCCACCTGATGGTAAGTGGTTGCTGTGGCCCATAGACATCTACATCTATCCTCGTTTGCGAATCAAAATGCAGATGCGTTGTCACCCGTGAGGACTAAGATGGAATGCCTCTTTTCCAGTAAAAAGGGTCTCCGGTTCTCTAGACTCACCATACGAAACACAGCAGTTTTAAGCTGCTATTTTACGCTGGTATTCTGTGAGAGCGTGGTCCTTCCCCAGTCGAGCCGACCCATTCGTGCTACAACTATACTACTAATATAGCTGCAGCATGGCTCTACCTGGTCCTTCACTGCTGGCCGGATGAGGAAGCTCAAGGTCGCTCAGCGAGCTATGGAGAGGGCTATGCTCGGAGTTTCTCTGCGTGATAAACTTAGGAATGAGGATATCCGCAGTAGAACCAGAGTAACCGACATAGCCCAACGGATTAGTAAGCTGAAGTGGCAATGGGCCGGCCATATAGCTCGAAGAACCGACAACCGATGGGGAAGAAAGGTTCTCGAGTGGCGGCCTCGTACCGGTAGGCGAAGTGTAGGACGTCCCCCCACGAGATGGAGTGACGACCTGGTAAGACATGCAGGAAGTCGATGGATGCAGGTGGCTCAGGACCGTGCTTTGTGGCATTCTTTGGGGGAGGCCTATGTTCAGCAGTGGACTTGTGAAGGGCTGTAATGATGATGATGATGATGATGATGGCTCTACCATGTTAAAAAACTGTTACTCTTGAAAAAACAACTTCAGGGGACTAAATAAAAGGTTCTGAAGCCAAATTAATGTTTTTTAGAATTTTTGTCTGTCTGTATATTTCGGATTCACGCAAAAACTACTCGACCGATTTTTAGGTAGTTAGTAACCCAGGGCAACTTATAGGCTACTTTTTATCTGATTACGGAACTTCATAAAAAACGTTAAGTATTTTCCTTCCTTTAGATGTTAATTTTATATTACATCTTATGCGGCGGTGGCCAGTGAGTCGTCCCCCCTGTTTAGAGATGGTAGTGATGGCGTACAGAAATTCCCTTGGACAGCCTTGGCGAGAGACCAGAATGCATGGGAAGGAAGGTGAACTAGTTTCTCGCCAATTGTGCTGAAGACGTGCGCTCCAGAGGTGACACCGGTTTTAACGCGTCTTTTCCGCTACTGCAACTCCCTAGACGTTGTCTCGAATTCATGGAAGACAGCTTTCGTGCACCCGATCCCAAAAAGGCCAACTACAGGCCTATCACCATCATCTCCTTGTTCTCGAAAATAATGGAGTCCATTATTAACTGCCAGCTCATGTGGTACCTTGAGGAGCACCAGCTGATTAGTGACCGTCAGGACGGATAGGCGCAGGCGATCGAGTCCAAAGGGGAGGCATTGGCCGTTAGTTTGGACATAGCGAAGACCTTCGATCGGGTCTGACACAAAGCGCTTCTTTCGAAGCATCCTTTCTATGGACTTCCCGAGAAATTGTGCAATTGAATCACCAGTTTTTTTGCAGATCGCAGCATCAAGGTCGTAGTAGACGGTGTTTGCTCCGATTACAAACCTATTAACGCTGGTGTTCCACAAGGCTGCGTGCTATCACCAACGTTGTTTCTCCTGCATATCAATGATATGTTGCAAACCGGAAACATTCATTGCTATGCGGATGACAGCACTAATGATATTCTATACACCGGCCGTGTCAATATTTCTCGGGAAAACGTCGCCGAGTACCGGAACAAACTTATCTCTGAACTCGAGTCTTTGCTGACAAAGTGTCGGATTAGGGGCGACTAAATCTAGTCCAGTTTAATCCTATGAAGACACAAGTTTGCGATTTTACCTCTAAAAAAACTCCTTTGTCGTATCTCCTCATTTTCAAGGCATTACCCTCATTGCCTCAGCCATTATCGGAATCCACGGCGCCAACATATCGAGTGACGTGCAGTTTCGTGGTCACTTCGAAGAGAAGGCCAAATTGGCTTCTAAAAGGCTTGGCGTGCTCAGCAGAGCGGGACAGTATTTCATGCCGGCACACGGCCCGCAACTTTTCAAGGCACAGGTTCAGCCTCACATGGAATATTGTTCCCATCTCTGGGCTGGGATTCTACATAAAATGAGTAAATATACTTGTCTCGTATTTTATAATTTAATTTTCAAATAAGGTAAAAAGAGAAGTAAAGAAACGTATTGAAAGATGTTGCGTGTCATCATCAAAATCATTACAGCCCTTCATAAGTCCACTGCTGAATATAGGCCTCCCTCAAGGAATGCCACAAAGCACGTTCCTGATCCACCTGCATCCATCGACTTCCTGCATGTCTTACCAGGTCGTCACTCCATCTAGTATGGGTTCACCCTACTCTTCGCCTACCGGTACGAGGCTGCCACTCGAGAACCTTTTTTCCCCATCGGTTGTCGGTTCTACGAGCTGTATGGCCGGCCCATTGCTACTTCAGCTTACTAATTCGTTGGGCTATGTCGGTTACTATAGTTCACCTACGGATATCCTCATTACTAACTTTATCACGAAGAGAAACCCCGAGCATAGCACTCTCTATAGCTCGCTGAGCGACCTTGAGCGTCCTCATACGGCCAGCAGTAAAGAACCACGTCTCAGATCCATAAGTCATCATCGGCAACAAGTACTGGTTGTACAATCTCGTTTTAAGGTTTTGAGTGGTTTTGAGGTATACATGACGAGAAGATGTGTCGTAACTTCCCGAAGGCTGCCCAGCCGAGTTGAATCCGTCGATTGACCTTCGGTCGAAGTTGGACTTACCTTGTCGGACTATTTGTCCCAAGTAAACATACTCGTCAACAACTTCGAGCTTAGTTCTCCCAATAACTACCAGCATAGGTGAGACATGGACATTGAACATGATCTTTGTTTTGTCAATGCTAACCTTAAGACGTATCCGTTGGGATATACTATTGAGGTCATTGAGCATAGTGCTCAAGGTCCTCCAGCGAATCTGCCATAAGGACTATGTCATCGGCAAATCGAGGGTGAGTTATGTACTCGCCGTTGATGCTAATACCGTAGCCTTTCCAGTCCAGTAGCTTGAAAACATCTTCCAATGCAGCGGTGAAGAGTTTCGGCGATATAACGTCACCCTGTCTTACACCTCTCTGCAGTTGGGTAGGTTTCCTAGTCTGATTCTGTACTCGGATAGCCATCTTAGCCCTACTGTACAAACACTTCAGCACTTAGATATATCGACACTCAACTTAACCGCATAAGGGACTGTAGCATCGTCCAAATTTCGACAGAATCAAAGGCTTTCTCATAGTCCACATACGCAAGGCAAAGTAGCAGATTGTACTCTTTGGTCTTCTGTCCAATTTGCCGAAGATTTATGTATGTTATCTATGGTACTAAAACCTTTTCAGAAACCGGCTTCTTCAGGAGGTTGGAAATCGTCGATTCTGCATGCGAGATGATTCGTAATGACTCTCGATAACAGGACGTAGACGCGGCTCAGAAGGGAAATTGGTCTGTAGTTCTTCAAGAGAGCATTGTCGTTTTTCTTGAAAAACAAGACCACCGCACTTCTGCTCCACGCCTCCGGGTTAGTCCCACCATGGACGACGGAATTAAAGAGTATCAGAAGGACCTCAAGTACCGGTTTTCCACCCGCTTTCAGAAGGTCCGCTGTAAATCTAACCTCACCTGGGGCCTTGCTGTTTTTAAAGTGCTGGAGAGCAAATCTAATCTCCCTCAGACTGACATCTGGGATATCATCGTAATAGTGTCGGATAAGACTCGCTCTTGGATCGTTACTCACACTTGCGTGTGGCTCCAACGATGACATGTACATCTGCCCATAGAACCTCTCAATCTCACTCAAAATCTCGGATATCCTGAAAACGATGCCGCCACAATTGGTCTTAAGCTTTGACAGT